AAATATAGATACACTTTCTTATAACCCGACGACACTTCAATTCATCAGTGGAATTAAAGTAAGTTTTACACAAACCATATTATACCAAATTCAAAATGATTTTAATCGATAAAAATGATTATTACGCACTTTGACCCCAGTTATTGGGGCCTACGGCCTGTCAACCCAACAGTTTTAAAAAAAAAAATATCTATTTTCTAATCTAAACCATGCTATACAAATTCCATGTTAAAATAATTTAAATACAGTACAAAACAGACACTGTTCAGCGGGGAACTCAGCGATGAGGTGGTGAAGTGTCGGTGGGAGGAATATTTTAGTACAGATCTGAATAGTTATTCTATTGTATACTGTTTTACTGTCTAGAATATATTATTTATGTCGTATTACAAAAGCGAAACCCGCACCTACAATTGAGACGACACTATATAGGAGGGTAAAGTTCTCTGTTTGACAATGGAAAACTGCGATTGTCAGTTAAAACTGATCTTATTTTTCTACATAATCTCCTTAGTCTTCAACACACTTGATCTCGCGTTTCACCAGCAGCATTCCTGCTCGGAAGTGGGAATCTGGAATGCTGTTATCGCGAATTTTGGTATCCAGCTGGTCAAGAAGGTTAGAGTAACATTGGCCTGTATTTTTCTGCCTTTTTTAAAGTTATCGATTAGCAGGATTCCTTTCGCATTTCAAAACATGCTGGCATTACCTTTCCAGCATTTGTGATCAACTTGACTTTCTTTAGTGCTGGATCACCGGCATCCACCTACTACTTGGACTGCTGTTTCATTTCTAGTGTGTAGTGGTGGAATCATGTCTATTGAATAAATTCAAACATCGTTGCTAATATCGTTTGTGCATTGAGCAAATGCGGCACCCACGCTCCATTCGCATTCCTAATTTTTTTTGCCAGATGTTTCGCACTCTTTCTTCCAATATTCCCACAGCCTGTCATATCTCACTCACCTTCGCAACTGTGAAAATATTCATCTACGACACTCTCAACTCCCTTATTGAACATAAAATGCTTCCCAAAAACAAATTTCCTCAAGTTTGGGAACAGATAGACCCAAATTAGGAGAATAGGAGGAATACATAATCCTCTTCTTATTCTTGCCAGGCCTCTTTACTGTAAAAATTCATGTAAACGAACAACTTCAGAGAATAAGTTGAAACTTGTTATATGAACTAATGGCACGTACCCCCAGGTAGTAAACATAACACGTACACTCAGGCCGAGAAATTTTCACCTTACCTTCATAAATAATAAGTCTCAATTTTTGTTGTTGTTGAATGTTTTAATTGTTCATTGTACAAATATCTCTCGGCACCTACAATACGATATCTCTGATGCGATATTCCGACGAAGTTATGCGATACGAAATGCTATATATCGATATTTTGTATCAAATTATTTTAGAATCGTAATTTTACTCCATCGTTATAGTAATACACGAATGTCCAAACTTTCGTCTTTAGGAGATACCTTTCGAAAGATGTGCTCAAAATAAAAATTATTCGAGTATGTTACCATTCAGGCAGGTAAAAGGTAAAAAAAGATATTGCATCAACCAGGAATGATCTTCACATATACATAGATACATGTGTATATTATTTAGTTGAAAGGAAACGCAAAACTAGTATTTATAGCTACTAAAATTTTGGAAGGGGATAGCTAGGGTCCCCACGAGGTTAGCCACACTGCCTAGGCTGCCTGTATGACTCACAAAGGGCATATAACACCTTGCCTCATTCGCAGATCATTATTATGAATGTCGCGTATTGTCTCCTTAAAGAAAAATGATCGCTACCCGCTCTGAAAAACCTTGGTAGAATCAATACCATTAAGTAGCTAATAATTTTCACATATGGTTCACAAGTTTATCTAAAAAGAGTTCTCATATTTGATGATTGTCTAATCAAATCCACATAAGACGATTTCAAGACAAAATGCACCCTGACAAAAACTGACCCTGAGACTGAAATGATTGTCAGGTTGGACCAAATCGGCCCCATATTTACATTACATTCAAGCACCTATGTACTTGTTATACAAATAGGATCTTTATATGGATTCACTTTTATTCAAATTTACACAATCCATGTAGACAACGGTGGTGATTTGATGGAGACAAGTGTCATACCAGCAATGTATGTACTTTTGGAAAATAAGAAAGGAACAACATATTGTAAATTATTTGAAATTATTTTATACAAACTTTTTAACTGGAATCCAGAAGTTATCAAAATGGATTTCGAGAAAGCAGGAATTCTTTCTGTAAAAGACATACTACCGACTACTAAAATCGTCTTCAACTTCAAGTTCGTAGAGATTTATATATATAAACTAAACACACATTCGACTAGGTAGTCGTGTACTAAACAAGATCTATTTATGTCAGGGTCCATTTTAACCCGATACCTATAAGAGAGAAGGTGGCATGGTCCACTTTTTTGTAAGGTTATAAATGCGTTTAATTTACCTCATAAGATGATGTGAAAAACTTATCATAAGATCCTTATAAAAAACTCATTATAAGACATATGCATCTTAGTTAAGTATCGCTGATTCCTTTTGTGGGTCGAGGAATCTACCTCACCTCATGAGATCCTCATGTCCTCTACAAATTCTAGTGGGACAAATCAACTATACAAATTAAGACTAACGTAATTTATATTTCTTTTTGTCAACAGGTCATTAACAATCCGTTAGGTTTTCAAGAACTGTGGTTCGTTTCAGACAGATTCCAAAAATTCTATACAAGTACACTGTCGCTAAACGAAACCAATTTCAGAATACATACAGTACGTGTTGACGACGTATTAAGAGGAAGTAAATGTAAATCGTCTAGATTTCAGGGAATTGAAGGCTAGAATAAGCTCCATGAATAACGAATAACTGTTTGCTAACTAATCGTTGTCATACACCAAAGATACCCCCATATAAGTACCATTTTTAACGTGTCAGCACCCACATATCAATAATTAATTCAATGTAACTAATTTAATTTTTGGTTCTTTATTAAAGTCTCCTCCTCCTTTTTGTTTGGTACATGAACAATGAGAATAAAATCTTAAAATAGATGAGTTATTAATATCTAAAATTTTTTCACAATTCACGTACATATATGGTGGTATCTCATGAAAATTAATAAATTGTAAGATCAGTTGTATATGTAAAACTTAATGAAAAATAAATTAAAAAAAAATAACAACCGCAAAAATCATTTAGTACCTACAACTCCTCTACATCCGTAGCCAACTGGGAATCCTTACATTTACTTTCTGTGTATTTTGCAACAGACCCAGTACCTCGAAAAGTTAATGTATGGACTGGAATTTTGGGGGATTGTCTTATAGGCTCCTCTTTTTATTAACGGTAATAAAAATTCAGCCATATACAATAACCTTTTGAGAGAGAAAACTATTCCAGCGCTTCAAAGGTTTGTCTAATACTAATTTTTATGAAATTTGGTATTAACAAGACAGTTGTCCCGCTTATAATGCGATAGCGGTTGGTAAGTTTTCCCAATTGCATTATAGGGAAAGGAGTTCGATTAAATGACCTACTAGATCTCCTGATTTACCGGCATAACCATGAACGTGCTGATAGTTTGGACAAACTTCGTGAAAAATAAATAATTGAAGCTACAAACAATATTGTATATTAAATGTTGGAAAATACTCGTAGGACATTTAACAACACGTGGAAATAAATATTGTTTGGCACAGTATGGTGGTCTATTTAAACCTGTTAAAACTTTTTTCAGTCACGAGATAACTTTCAAAGTTATCAGAGCATTTCCTTCTATTTCTTATGGCTTAAACATGGATGCAAATTATCTGAAATCTGGTATAATAATTCAAATGCAGCATTTAGTTACTATTTGTATTGTACATTGTAACAAAAGCTGTATACAAACAATTTTGAAATTTTTCCTCTTAAATGGGCACATCCACTGACTCATATTTTGAATAGCGCCACCTATCAAGTACACTTGTAGTGCAGTGGTTTTGCCAGACAATGTAGCACTCTTCATATATTTGTACATAACGCAGACGAATTGGAAGATCTGGCTTATTGGAATGAGCGTCGCCATTTTGCAATGCATCAGACAAATTGGAAAGCTACTATTAGCAGTTTCTTATAATTTAAGTATCTATTGCGATTATTGTAATGAACTAGGCTAATCAGAAAAATGGGAACTGGTAATAGTATGTAGACATGTAACCTAACCTAACCTTTACAAAATTCAACGCCACTGATTAAACGAGTCGCAAAAATACCTATGTTGAGAAATACTGCACCTTTTAAGCATCATCAACCATTAGAGGGAGAAGGATGGAAGCAAAAACTCGTCAAAGGAAGGGGAGAGGGACTTTTACCCACCTATCCAACTTACGCAAACCTAACACAAACTAACAAAAGAAAGAAGAAGAAAAACATAAACATACAAATATACAACCAATCTGATGCCATATTCTGACTACTACAACACACACCAAGATAAATATAAATTTAGTCTGACGATGCCGAAAGTGAAACAGCTGTCACTAAAAGAAATAAGGAAATTCGTAATATAGAATATGTAAAAAATAATCGAAAATAGTAAATAATCTCAAAAAAAAGTCCAATTTTGCTAGAAATTATGGCAGTAGTTACCAGACCCTAAGCACCACTAATCCTTTTGGCTTCTGTTGCCTTCTATGTTTTGGTGGAGGTGAGAGGCAGTTATCAAAAGAGGAGCTCATGTACGTTTGAACCTCCTGTTTGTATGAAAGAATTTCCTATAAAAAATCATACAGGGCATCTCTGTCAGTATAGGAGAAAGAGACTATGGCGCTACATGTTAACACTTTTCAGGAATTTAGAAGTTACTCTTTTTATTCTGATTTCGAAGAATTGTATATAAGTACAATATATATACAGGGTGCTTCTAAAGTAAGTAGCAGGCTTTAAAGGATGTTAAATAGACGCAATAAGGAATCGTATGGTAAGTAATGCAGCGTGGTTAGAGGACAAAAGAGTTTCTAGGAAAATCGGAAGAAGTTGCAGTCCGATGTACTTGGTCTTCCAAACCGCCAAATCTGCGTTTGAACTCGGACGCGATACCACGGCTCATTCCAAGATCCCTTGAAACGCAATGGGCCAGAGAATATTCCTTAGATATAGCAAAGAGGTCTCCCTTAGATATAGCAAAGAGGTCTCGTCGGATTTCTTGCGTCACTCCAAATCTTCTGTTAACATGGGGGCCTTCCTTCATAAACTCTTCGAAAGGAATAGTTCTTAATAATTTGACCATTTGCACCGCCGAATGGAGCCAAGCGATTAAAATGGACTACCTTCGGCTTCCCATTTGGAGTTTTCTTAATTCGGTAGATCACGTCGTTAATCCTCTTCAGTATCTCATGGGTTCCTTCCCAATTCTGTTGTAGTTTTCTTTAATCCTGTCACTAGCAATCTGCGTATGCAGATGAACCGACTAGTGGATATTGTTAAGCTTTCTTCGGAGGTTGGTAACATAATCTTCTCTAGCCAAGTCATCATCTGGTTTACAGCCGAATTTGAGGTCACAAGGTAGTCGTAACTCCCTTCCAAAAAGGACACTGGCAGGTGTTTGGCCAGTCGTTTCGTGGACAGATGAACGGTATGCCATTANACCAGAGAAGAGAGACTAGTATAGAAGTCCAATGCTGGGTTAATAATCCGGACTTCGTTTCGGATAACATGTCGGTAAATCTCGAAGCTTCTGTCATCCGACCGGTAGTTGTCGCTTCGGAAAATCAACCGTTTTATTTTTTTTTCTTTACAAACTTGGCTTACAACAGCAAAGGAAAAAGACTTATGCGTTCTATGATCCCACCACTTCTACTATTTACCCCTGCCATTACTGCGTTCACTCTTTGCTCCAACTCAATACAGCGTTGAGGCGCTCATTTTCATAGCAACGCCATCCCCTGGTTCTATTTAGAATTTCTTACTCACGTTTGAGTCCTCCATTTGAATTGGACTTCTATACTAGTCTCTCTTCTCTGCCACAAGTGTGCTGCAAATGTCTAGTAATTGTAAATAGTCTCGTTTACAGAGGTCTAGAAGTGAAAAATGACTCTTTCTAAGAGACGTACTCACACGGTCACTCATAGAGGTTTTCGGGGCTGAAAATGACGGGACCTGACTATTATCCAGGTTCGACTGTATTAAATTCTCTTGTAAAAGGATTTTAACTTAAACGTTTATGTATTTAATATCTAGCTATAAAGAGAAAAAGCTCAAATTTGATAAGAGTATTGTATAAAATAAAATCAGAACTTTTTTAAAACATGAAACGAGATTTTATACGTACACTATTTTTTCGCGATAATTTCTTATCTCTCGCTTGTCCTTAAAATTTATTATTACGTTTTATTACGTAGTATGAAGTAAATACTTAAATACTCGATACAAAATTCGGATCTTGTTTAAAGTATTACTTGTTGACCTTGTTACATACCCGCGTTACAATTCCTTTTTGTTGTGTGATAATCTCTCATCGTCAATTAAAAGTGTCATATAATTCATTTTTCATTTATTAGTTGTTAAAATTAACAGAGATTAACGCTTATCAGTTTGAATGTTTACTTTAATTTAAGTAGTGTTAGTTATTATTACCAATTATTTGCTCGATTAAAATTCCCGTGATTGATGAAGTTTCAACTTTATTTATTGCTTTCTTTCGTTCAGAAAGACATTCCATTAGTTTTAGAAAATACCACAAATGGCGCTGTAAACGCCATCTGTAGTACGATGCTACATTTTTATGATTACGTATGCTCCAACAAGGTCCATTTGTATGGAAATCTACTTGCTGAAACGAATCCCGACGTAGCTAACTTCAACATGACAGGCATGTTACCATAATCGAATAAAATAATTCGAAGTGGTCTATATAGGCGTTTACCGCGCCATTTGTGGTATTTTCTAAAACGCACTGTTAATACAGCTGGTAAAAGTTTGTCTGGGTTCTATCGGAGCTGTCTGCGACGCGTTGATGAGATCCAATAAGATCGAAATCGCGATCTGCGTCTGGCAGTTTCGACAGAATACAGACCACTTCGAATTATTTTATTCCATTAGTTGTCCAAACTAATGGAATATACGTTTCGGAGTCATGTCAGAACAGCTAATACTTTGAATAAAGGAATAAAGTAGAGATGTGCCGAGTGCCGGATTTTAGGTGGGCATCTAGAGGGGGCGTTATTGGGTTAACCCCCCCCTCCCAAATTAAAAACTAAGCAGGAAGTGATAATACCATAATAGAAACAAGTGGCAGTAAAGGATCTACTTAAAGATGAGATAATTACTATAATAAGTCGTAAAATTTATTTTTAGAAATATGTAGACGGTAGTGACAGCAAGGAATGGTATTTTTATAAGATGCAACATCAACTTGAAATCATTTTTCGATTTTGAAGCACTACGAATTTCCTCAAATTAATGAGGAAAATAATTTTGTTGCTGCTGTCAACTCCCCGCCGGGAATCGAACCCGGGATCTTTGGCTTTACCCACCAATGTTCTGACCAACTAAGCTGCGAGAGATGACAAATAAATTTGTAGTGATTTCAAGTTGATGTTGCATATTAACATTGACCACTATTAATAATTAATAAAACAATGTCTTAAATTTTATAAGAAATATGGTCTATGGTAAAGCAAGNAGGCCGGAAACTTATCAATCCACCCTCGTACACACACACACAAACAAACACACACATCAACACACAACACACACATCTAATGTAGGTAAATAAGAATAATAATCTTTTTAATAAAGCTATTATCCAACTATCTATCTATATATCATATTCGATATTATTTTGTACTATCAGTCTTGTGATGAAGATGCTCATCATTATCATCATTTTAATCATCATCATCATAACTTCGTTAGTCCTTCTCCACTCTTTCCTATCCTAAGCTAATCTTCGCATTTCCTTAAAACTAGAACATCCCACATCCGTAACTATTTGTGAACAGTAATCTAATCTAGGTCTACCTCTATTCCTCTTAACTCATTATACTGTTTCTAATCTGTCTCTGACCAGCTCTTCGAGTTTGAGAAGGTGTCCTACCAAACTATCTCGACTATTTTTCATCGACATGCGTGGAGTCTTCTGGACTTATCTATATTGCTAGATACCGAAAGTCACCTACTTCTTCTCAGTTTTGCCGTCTG